TTAATCAAAATTCGATTCACCTAATGTAACAATACGAATTGTATGATTTGTTGCTACAATAAAATTTTCTTCTTCTAATGCTCGAATAGCATCATCGAACATATCACGCGTAATACGTTCATCACTTCGTTCACGCATTTCATTAAATAATATATCCTTTTTGATTGCTTCTGTACTCTGTGTTGATTTACGTTCTTTAAGATAACGTTTAAGTGTTTGAGCAAGATCAGCACGAAGTCGACGTTCACCAGCACTAATACCTGTTGTTAAAATTGCTACATCAACACGACCTGTTTTAGGATCAACAGCCTATAAAATAAAAAGTGCTAATGAAATATTTTTCTCCATAATATACAAAACTTACTGCTTGTTTTAATGCTTCACGATAAAGTCTGAAAAATAAAAAGAATTCGTTTTGCAAAAAAAAAACAATAAAAATTCTTAATTTTATTTACCGTTTAGCTTCTTCAACATCAAGTTCTTCGACTTTATCTGAAAGTCGAACTTTTGCATGTGCTTCAGCCAAACGAATCAATGATTCAAGTTGTCGAGGATATGCAGAAATTTGTCCTTTACCACTACCAACTTTACGCATTTCAACATATCTAAAAATTTCAAAAGAAAAAAAAACAAAAGCATTGAACTCTTCCAGTTTTTTTTTGTTTCAATGACTTACGAGCTAACAAGAAGTTTTCCAGCTGCTTCAGTTAATTGTGGACAAACAAAAGTTCTTGCATATGATATATAATCTCGAAGTAAATCAGCATCCTATAACAAATAAATGATAATATTCAGATAGACAATATAAATATAAATTTACCATAGCTTCATGAACACTTTCACCTTCTTTACCATATTGATACCATGAAGCTAAATGTTGTGCTAATCGTCGATCATATGCTTCATCTTGTGGATCAAGTAAAAGAAAAATTAAATCAAAACGTGATAGTAATGTAGGTGGTAATTGAATATTTTCAATAATAGTTTTTGATTTATTCCATTGAGATTCAATTGGATTAGCAGCAGCTAAAATTGATGTTCGAGCATTTAATGTACATATAATACCAGCTTTCGCTATTGATAATGTTTGTTGTTCCTATATATTTTTTTTAATTTTTTTTTGAAATATATCAAAATTAAACGTACCATAACTTCATGAAGTATTGATCGAGCACTTTCACTCATTTTATCAAATTCATCAATACAACATACACCATTATCTGCAAGAACTAATGCACCACTAGAATTTTAAAACAAATAATAAATTTCAAAAACATATGAAAATATTTCTTTTACGTTTGAAGAACAAGTTGATTAGTTTCAGGATCTTTTGTAACATAAGCTGTAAGACCAACTGCACTTGTACCTTTACCATTTGTATATTGAGCACGTGGTACCAAACGAAAGACATATTGCTGTAATTGTGATTTAGCTGTACCAGGATCTCCACAAAGTAATATATTAATTTGAGATCGACAACTTTTTCGTCCAGCATCAATAAAACCTTTTTTTGTTCCACCAAATAATTGTAATAAGATACCTTTTTTAATATCTTCATGTCCGAAAATACTTGGAGCTTTGAAAAAAAAAGAAACAAAGCATTAGGCTATTTGATATCTTTATAATAATCATACCTATTGCATTTGATAATAATTCATAAATATCAGGACGTTCAGATAAATTACGAAATTGAGCTAAACGTTCTTTTGAAAATTTCGATGAGCTATAGTATATGACGGGATAAAAAGAAAAGAAACATAATGAAACAAAAACATAAGAACAAAAAAAATTTTACGTTGATTCTTCATCATCATTTGTTGCTTGTTCGCCTATTCCACCTTCAGCTGTAAATGTTTTTTGACGACGAAAATGAATCACATCAATAAATGTACGATATACAGATCGAACATTTCGTGTTTTAGGATTAATTCGAACTGGTACTGCTCGAAATATACCAGTTACTTGTACACTAAATTAGAATTGATAATACGAAAACAATAATCCTAAATCAGCGATATCGAAAATGATAATAATCAATTTCTCAAGACATCTAATTCCTTTAAGTATAAACATGTAAATAAATCTATAAGATCATTACATATTCAAAGACTTTCCATTAGTTAACTGTTCTATGTTTATGTTTACTTTTACTACTTTTAATAGTAACTAAATGAATTCTAGGACCCTGAGGGAGTCCTCGAAACAAAAAAAAACAAAAATCTTTTTTCTCTACTAATTAATATTAATGAAATATTCAGAGATGGTTTATATCGAGTTAGGTATCTCACAATAAAACATTCAACTCGATAAATTCTATTTCTGAAGCGTTAGTTTCAAACTATCGATGAAAATATTGACATTATATTTTAATAGAGCTCGATTTTCCTAGGTCACTTTTCTCAAAAGCTCTTATGATAAAATACGGAAAAATCTGGCTCTCTTAAGATGTAGAGCTGGTTTTAATCTTCATTTTGAGATGAAGCCGAAACTTGCTAGCATTTAAAATGCTGAACAAATCAAGATTATATACCCTATTGGGTATGAATCTGCAGTTCACTGAGACTTTTATTTGATTTTGATCTTTCATGTTCAACTTTTTATTCATTTATCATACTTAACGATGCAGAATAGTCACGTTCATCCTTACCAAATGTTAACAGAGACTTGAAGGACTTTGCAAATGTAAATTTTTCGAAAAAAAAAAGTTATTTTCTTCAGCATGAAAATTCAGAAAAATCTTATCATAAAATGAACGAACAAACATTTCTAGAGATACTTACCGATCACCAGGTTGTACTGCATCAACAAGATCATTATGTGCTACAACAGTAACTGTCACTGGTGTTTGACCAGCCGGCATTTCCTCTTTACAGAAAAACAAACAAACAAAAATGTATTGACACAATTTTATACTATTTTAATTTTATTTTTACCTGGTGTTTCTTGTAATTTAATAAATTGTTTATCAGCAAATAATGATCGATTATGAATAAGTTCAAATGAATGTGCTGTATTACATGATGTACATACAGTTGGTTCAGCAATACGACCACGATCAATTTCAACTTGAACATGAAAACCACATGTATTACATGAAAAATATGCTGAACGCATTTCAGGCATAATCAAAGATGATCGAATAACCATGCCTGTTAGACTAACTAATTTATCAATATCTAAATATAAAATTTTATCATTTATTTCATATTTAAGAATTTTTAGTGTTGTCAAACCTTCTGGATCAAGACAACGCATATTTCTAAACATATCAACATTATATGGTCGTACTTGAATTTGATGTGGAAGTGTATCATCTTCATAAATTGTAAAAAATAATTCATTAACAGCAATATCAAATATAGGTATAACTTCTTGTGGATAAAAAAGTAATTGATGATACATTATTTTATCTAATTGTTTCATATGTAAACAATTAACATTAAGAAATGGACGTTCAAGTAAATGAATTTCTTCAAGTTTTTGCATATAATATGGTTTAGCTGGATCAACACCTTCAAGATTTGCTTCTTCAACATTTAAATGAAATTTTTTTAAAAATGATATAAATCGACGTTTACATTCATTAACATGTACATCTGTACCCCAAATAACAACTTGATTATCAGCTGTATTAACATCAATATCACCTTCCTAAATATTGAAATTTTCTTAGAAATATTTTCTTTTATCAATAAATAAACTTACTAATTCTTCGTGTTCATTAACTAAACGTAATTTTCGTGCACTACCAAGATCAGATCGTACTCGTGATGGTGTTGACATTGGTGTACGACCATTAGCACATAAATTACTTTGTGCAGGTGATGTTGTAAATGTCATTGGTGAAAAAGCCATACCTTGAAAATTCATTCATTTTAAATAAAACAAGATAACTTATGACTAGGATAGAATTAAAGAAGAATAAGTGTAAACACTCAATAACTCGGCAACGACAATATCTAGTAAATTTTATTTTGACATTTGCTTCAGATATAAAGCGAAAGACACGATTTAGGTGATTATCTTTTGAAGTCTTAATATTGGACCAACAAAATCATGTGAGTATTCAGACAGACACTCATAGTTACCTTATTTTATAATTATTAAACATTCTATAGATAAAAAATCAAAGCAATCATGAGTATTCGAGTTCGCAATTTGTACAGATAACCTCCTATCGAATGATAATTTGAAATACAATATAGCTTGTCAAAGTTTTTCAATAAACGTAATTCATTTATTAATCTTTTTCATATTTCTTAATTTTTGAATAACTTGCTACTATAAAACGGCGTCAAAATAGAAAGATACAATTATATCTGTTGATCTTAAATATATCCTATGCATTTTACTTGTAAATATCTGCGAAATGAAATCATTCTGTTCGGATGAATATAAAAGCTTCTTAACAATATTTTAATTATTGTATTCTTCCATCACGATGATGGAAAAAATTAACAAACGATGGTAGAGAAATCAGACGTTAATATATTCAAAGTGATTTAAAACGTTTGAAATTTTTAAGAATTAAAGATCTATCTCTGCATTATGACCAACAAATGACTGATTTTATAATCAAAATTTTTATCTGAAAGCATCTTTCAAATAGCTTCATCGATTAAAACAAACCTCGATTTTTATTTGGAGTACGTCCGGGTGTAAAAGGCATTTGAAGAACAGAACTTGGTGCTGGACTTGTAATAGATTCATCTTCTTGTAATGTTGTTAATGGATTTCGCTTCTTAGCCGCTAAATATAATATATAGAGAATAGAACGAATATTCTTGTTTTCCTTGTAAAAAAAAAAGAATATCCTACGTGTTCGTTGTGATGATCCTGGTGTTTGTTTAGCAGGTGTACGACGTTGTTTTGATGGCGTACCATTTGATTTTGATGGAGTAGTCATCTAGAAATATAAAAATTTTATTTAATTCTATTTTTAAATTTTAATAAATTATTATTTTAATAATTTTCATTTTATTTCTTTATTTTTTTTTTCTTTATATAATATTCGTTTCAAGTTTACGTGTAATTGTAACAAGATGTTCATGCATAAGATTTGTTTGTTCATGAATTGAATCAAGTTTATGTTGTAAATTAATATTTGTTAATATTGTTGATAAACGTGATGAATCAATTAATAAAATAATTTGTTTTAATATTAAAATAAATTCTTCATGTAAACGATGATCTAAATAAATTGAATTATTATGATTATTATTATTAGTAGTAGTAGTAGTATTTAATTGATTATTATTTGAACGTATTAACATATTTAATTTTAACATATCACTTGATGAATCATTAAATGGTTTAATAATTTTTTGTTGTATATATATAAAACGTTCAACAATAAATTGTATATTTTGTAAAAGATTATTTATATTATGCATACGTCTATCAGAACTTGTATCCATATGAATTAATAGACGTATTATATCATCTAAATATTCATTTATTGTTTTAAATAAATTAATTATTGTTTGAAGATTATTATTTGTACAACATTGTGTTAATGCACATGGTATAAGTGATGGTACTGATTTAATTGTTTCATTTGTTGATGGAATATTAAGTGATGTTGATGGACAATATGAAAGTAGAAGTTCACCATTAAGCATTGGATGATTTATATGAGATTCAAGACATGTTGTTGTATTAATATTGTTTGTTGATAAATTCATACCATGAATTATTGATATATCGGGTGCTATTGATGGATTACATGATGGAATTGATGGACCTGTTTTAGAATAGAGATCGAATGGACACATATCAAGAAAAAAATCAAGAGGAATTAATGATGTTTTAGACATGATTATGATATTGAATGAAGAATAGAATATATATACATATAGAATACAAAGTCAACTAACATATAATTTAAAAAAAGACCGCGAACAAAGAACATAGTCGAGTTTGATTACATTAAAAAGTTCATTTTATAAGATATGTTTGATTTTAATAATTAACATTTTTTTAACTAAAGGATTTTGTTTTAAATAATTTAACAAAAGGTTTAAAGAAAACAAATAAAAGAGGTCGCACATCTACTTGTTCATGTTATGATTATTAAAGGTTATAGATGATCGTGTAAAATTTTTGACAAAAAGAAACATGATAAGAAACGACTTTGAAATGTAAGATGCGCATCAAAGTTCGTTAGAAAAATAAACGTAATTGTTTGTTCAAAAAGTTTAAGTGAATTGCTTGTTTTCTATTCAATAATATCATAGTGTTTTGGTTGAAATTTTTTTTAAAATATATTTTATAGTTGAATAGCAAAGGTTCATAAATATTCCTTCAAGCAAAATAACCTCATTTGTCCTTGTGAAAATATTAGAAAAGAAAGATATAATTTTGTATAACTTTATTGGCTTTTTTTTATTATCAGCAATTATTAATGAAATACTATCTCATATGGTTTCACTGAAACATATCAAATTATACTTTGATGCCTTATTGGTCATTGAAATCAAGAAGCTATTATGATAAATTAAGCATATCATTGTCATTCATTTTGTCAAGTGCCATAACTCAGCTTCAAAAACACAGCGTCATTATGTTATCGGTTCCGTTTGTTAGCAAAAAATTGGGCTGACGGATTACGGCGAAGTACGATGAATATTTAGGCAGTAATATGGGATTTAAGACGCCATTTCCCATAGTGGGAATAATCGCCTTGGCGATAGTCCTTGAGTTTTTCTGTCGTAGTTTTGAAGCATTTCTTAAAACGTTATTGATTTTCAACGACACTAATTTCATTTCAATGTTGTAAATATTTTTAATACAGTTCTACATCTAGTCATTTTGCTGCTAGATTCAACAAATAATTTTTCTATCAAAAAAACATATAGTGAATAAAACTTTAAAGAATGTACTTGCTTATTAAGAAAAGAAAACAATTAAACCATTCAAATTGTAAAATACCTATTTACTTTTATTTTTCGTATAAATTCTTAGAATACCGTGGATATTGCATAAGTATTCGAATGAAATTACCGCCTGATGAAATACACAAAAAAAAGTGAATTGTTTAACAGTGGCCATGTGAATATAAGAATTCGATATTAGTTTCCATTATGTTCCTTTGTAATTGCCACAAGTATATTGCTTTACTATAGAAATACAGATGTGATTCAAATCAGAAAACAAATCGCCAATAAATCTTCTGCAGATCGCTCAGCGTAATATGCACTACAATGGCTGTATTTACTGACGGTAAGTTAATACCCAGACAGGCAACTATCTTCTGGCCGTCGTTCCATTCCAATGTACCTATACTTGTTCCCCGACCGCCAATCTACTGCTGGTATGCGCTCGCTGTTCATGCATATCGGTAGTAGTGCTAACAAAAGTGGAACATGACTATATATATATTACATTCTATTCATATCGCTTGCTTTAGGCGTATCAGTATTTTTCTTGTTAGTAAATTTGTTTCATGTCTATGCAATATAATGAAGTTATTCGAAAGATAATCTTCTTCTTAGATTAATTCTCTATTCTATTGTAAACTACTTTCTATATATAAATACTATTGTTTATTAACAACATCAATTCAATCATGATCTTTCTTTAAAGTCACATATTTATTGTTTTCTCCATAATGTTTCTATGAATCATCTACCAATTGTTAATCTACTAGAAAAAAAAAGATGAAAAGTCACTGTTCTACGTAAAATAATTATGAAAAAACAAAAAAAAATTGAAATCTATTGTTTATTTTTCGCTTCTTTCAATTCATTAACCATGGCTTCAGATAATTTAAATTTTTGCACTTTTCCTGTTGGTGTCACGAAGAATTTATCAACGAATCGAATATGTTTTGGTATTTTAAAAAATGCTAACTTATCAGCAAGAAATTTTGTCATATCTTCTGTTTGACATGGAGGTGCATTTGGTTTTAATTTAATCCATGCACATACTTCTTCACCATGACGTTCATCAGGTATAGAAAAAACTTGTGCTTCAGCAACACTTGGATGTTCAACTATTGTATTTTCAATTTCAACTGGATAAATATTGATACCACCACGAATAATCATCTCTTTTTGACGTCCAACATAATAAAGATAACCATCTTCATCCATTGTTGCTTGATCACCTGTTCGAAGCCATCCTGATGGTGTTAATGCTTCTTGTGTTTTTTCTGGATCACCATAATATCCAACCATAATTGGATAACCTCTTGCCCAAATTTCACCTTGTTGCCCAATGGGTACAACATTTCCTTCTTGATCAGAAACTTTGACTTCTAACCGTTGCATACATCGTCCAAGTGATCCTAGACGACGTTTTGAATCTTCATCACCAGCCCACATACCACTTGTAAGTATCGCAGCATTTTCCGTCAATCCATAACCTTGAGCAACACGTTTTATTGGAATTTCTGTTTCTAATTGACGTAAGAAATCATAATGCATAGGACTTGCACCAAGTGCAGCAAATGTTAATGAACCTAAATCATATTTTTTTCGATCTGGATGTGTTAAAATATCTCGAAAGATAATTGGTGCACCAATCATTGCGGTACATTTTTCTTCATGTATAGATTTCATTGTCGAAACCGTATCAGGCAAAATAGCTGGAAAAACAACTTGACATTTTGCTACAGCAGCATTAAGTACACCAACGACTTCTGAGAACATATGAAAAAATGGAATAGGAACACAAAGACGAGTAAAGAAATGTCCAAGATGTTCCCATTGAGCATGTACTAAGTTGAGTATACCAAAATTTGTTAATGTTGCTGCTTTTGGTTGACCTGTTGTACCTGATGTATAATAGATTGCAACAGGTGAATCAGGATTAACAGATGCTTGTCGTTCATTTAATGTATTATGTGATAATTTTGCTCCACGTTCAATTATATCATTATATGAATGAATTCCAGATATAGATGATTGTTTACCAGTTAGAATAACATGTTTCAATGTTGGTAATACTTTTGATGAAAGTTCTCGAGATGTTGAATGTTTATCAATTTCTGGCACAAGTCGACGAAATAATGATAATGATTCGATGATTTTGACTGTTGGTGAAAGTATAATACCTTTACAACCAACTTTATTGATACAATATTCAAGTTCACGTCCAACATAAGCTGGATTTATATTAACCTAAGATGATTATCATAGTGAATATTTCAAAATAAAATAATGTTTTACTTTGATAAGACCTAATTTGGATGCAGCAAATGACATGGCAACATTTTCTGGTGTATTTGGTAACCAAACAGCAAATCGATCACCTTTTTCAAAGCCTAATTCAAGAAGAGATGCTGCTAAACTATCAATTTCATCTTTGAATGCTTTGAATGTATATCGTTTTTGTTCATCTAAAATATTTATCTTATGACTCTGAAGTTTAATAATTATTTGATTGATATACTTTTAAAAATATAACATTCATGATCAGGATATTTAGCAGCTATTTCATCAAAACTTTGACTTATTGTTTTATAAACTAATGGAAGTGAAGAAACATGATGGAAATAACTAGAAGTTAATTTGTTTGATGATGTTGTTGAACTATGCCGTTTTTTGAATTGAAAAATAACCCAAGTTGTTTGTGGACGTATAATAAAACGTTTTGTGTTACCAGTAAGCATGATTAAATCGAATAAAGAATAGCAAGCCCAAGTATGTGTGTCTGCTGATAAGTTAAGACTTGCTATTATTAACTACACATTTTTCTCGTCGTTTCTATCTTTGATATTGTTATCTTTTTTACTTAGTCAGATCAGTCTAAAAAATATAAAAAAAAGAGAATAAAAAAAAGGTACGATAAAGTTCGAAGCTTGAAGATGATATGACTAAAACCGAGAATATTATTATTTAAAGTAGTGAACAAAACTCTAAAATACTCCCAATTTTTCGCGTATCCTATAATAAAGAGATTTTTCTGAATTCGAAAAAATTCACATCAGTCAATGCAGAATTTTATGCTGCATTATTTTATTAACATTACAATTAGCTAATTAAGAAAATACAACCACCAACTAAAAGCCAATTTTTAACAATCAAGATCAAATTGAATCGAAAGACCAACTATATTGTTAGAATTGGGTGCGAGTTTTCGTTTGGCTCATAGTTAAATCCACACTGACATGAACAATAACAGTCAGATCTCGCGCCACAATTGTAACCGATAACGATAATGATTGGTTCCATAGATGTTTCTTTACCAACCAATAGATAATATTTTCTCTACCAGCTAGTATGACTTTGTTTTGGAATTTTCGCATATTTTCCTTACAAAATTGAGCATAAAAGTACTTTTTTTTTCTTTCGCTTTATAGTCATATACTTATTACATTTTATCAACCTAGTGTTCATATCAATTTATCTTATCAAAACTAAATCAAATAATTGCTAAGTATTTTGGTTTCCCTATAGTTTATAGAATTTATTTTGTGCAAGTATAAAAACTAACAAGGTGAATATTTTATGAGAAATAGGTTACATATACATGTAATATATAACCTTTGTATCTTACAAATTCTTAGCTAGACAAACAATTAAAAAAGCAACTTCTAAAATCGCATTGAAATTTAAACGAAAATATCATTATCAAAAGCATGTATCTAGACGAATTCGATTTTTTCCAGTGAATGTATGTTCAAAGAGAACAATCATATTTCATAGATTGAGATTGTTTGAAATATATAAAAAAGCTCATCTAACTACTGCAAGTTCTATGACAGTAGTATATATATAATGATTGCTTGATAGATTTCACCCTATTTTGAATTCTTTTTTTTTTTCAAATATTTTTCTAATATAGAAAGGTGGACAGACATTGAAAAAATATA